AAAAAAAAAAAAAAAGGCCTAAATTAGGGTTCTTATACACCACCACCCAAAAAACAAAAACAAAAACAAAAACAGAAAAAAAACAAAAGACAACACATTTACACCACCTTGACCAAATCATACAAATCTCCGAGAAATTGGGGGAATCTTCAAACTTTTCTAAAATACTATGAAGTGCTCAGAAATAGTCGAAGTAGTTAGAATATGACTCCCACGAGGGTCATATAATTGGGACTAAAAAGCACGAAACCAGCTTAACTGAAAGGAAGACTGGTACTGAACCATAATCAGAAGAAACACCAGCATCAGCAACAGACCCCACGGCGCACTACCCTCATCACGTACAGTTTCATAGGCTGGGGATGAAATTCCGGTGTAGAACCGCCACCTGTTATCCACCATGAAATTCAACATCAAAATCACCAAAAGAGGCAAAAGAAAAAATAACAGCTTCAGATTCATCTTGCTCTTCTCCAATTCTGCCTTGTAATGTGAATAACTTGCCAGAAACATTAACATAATCAGCAAACCAAAAAACACCAGCAAAGGCAAAGGAGGTGGAGATATTGAATCTAGGGTTTGATCTCTCCAGCCTATTCCTCTTCTTTCTCTGACAAACCAACCCATATTTTTTTATGTTTCTCTCTCTTCAACAATTCTCTATGGTTTTCTCTTGAAATTTTGTGGGATGTTATAGGAATGGATGAATATATGAGAATAAAGCTACGGGCCATGAGAATATATATAGAAAAAGCCATCTGTGGTTGTGTGCGTATGTGCTTTGGCATAAATTCTGCATTATGAGTTTGTCGTCAAATCGACTTTTAGAGGGATCGATACGAAATTGACAGTTTACTTTTTATGAAGTATTTAATTGCCAAAGAATATATTCTTGAGTAATATTTCAATGCAAAAGTTGAAAAAAGTGTTGTAACTTAAAATTAAGTTTTAACCTTTCAACAATTAACTCATTTAATTTTCAGTTTTTATTTACTTAATAATCATTTTTCCCACAATTAAAACATCATAATTTATGTTATAACCTCTATTTTAATGATTTAATTGTGGGGGTTGATTTTACCTATAAAAAGAGGTGGATTTCTCATTGTTTTACACAACAAAAACAAATACAATATACTCTCTAGTCTTTTCATACATTTCCCTTTTATGTGATATATGTGTAAATTATTAGTTTTTGTTGGGAATCTACTTATACATGCACAGCGGAATTTAAAATAATTTTCGATTCCCACCAAGAATCGCCTTTGTGTTTAG